TTCTGCTTTTTTTTTTTCCTAATTACTTACCATACAAAATGCTCAAGGACTTGATAAGATAAAACAAAGTTTGTGTGAGAAAGTGAAGTAATTTAATCAAACATAGGTAAGGTGTTTCCAAAGCTTCGAAGGAAGGGTCGTGGCTCCACTCCTAAGAAGTACCAAGACGTTGAAGATGAAGAAGAAGCTGCAGATTATGTTTTTCGTATTGTGACATCCCTCAAACCGGACTCTATATGTAAGTATTTTGCGTTTTTCAAAAGTTACTTTATTTTTCATAACATGAAATTGTATTTACTGACTGCTACACACCTTCATTCGCAGTGAGTACTGGTTTCTGACAATTTTTTTTTACAATTATATTCACAGTAGAGATGAATGTGTAAACTATACGGATATTGAGGGGTGTTTTATAAGGGTTGGATTCTTCGCAGTAGGTGTCTGTGACTTGTTGGCAATACATTTAAACAATAAATGTACAGCACACAATCCACTTTGAAACAAGTCAAACATATGTACAAAAATTTGTTACACCATTGGTTATCACAGTTGTATCCAGAGCTTTAGATAATTGTTTCCTTTTCATCAAAGTCTACACGGGTGGGTTCAATTACTTTATATAACAAAATCTTCTTCTTTATGTCTCTTGTTACAATACCACTGTGAAATTCACTTTAGATATTGCTCATTATGGCTAAACTAACAATCATGCAGTCTAACTTCACTTTCACTAACTTACTTTTACTTCTTTTTTTGCACTCTGTATCTGCACATATTTATAACACATGACAGAAAAACTTGGAAATATCTAGCTCTCTAGTGAGAACAATATTCACATAATGAGAAAAACATAGAAGCTTCGAGTAAGATGACGTCAACAGTATTACAAAAGCCTAGTAGAACAATTAAACTGCATACACAACGTACGACTCGTACAGAGTTACGTAACAAAACTTGTCATAACAATAGCTTTAAAATAATTAAGTTTTAACACTCTTGTTATGAAAATTAATCATTAAATCACCAAATAATAATTCTTAAACTAAACAGTCTTGTATATCTAACAAAGGGTCATCGGTGATTTATACTATAGTCATGACATGTCACAAAACGAAGACAGAGATAGAAACATGAGCATTGTTAAAACATGATGTTTGTTTATACAAGAAATACACATGCATGTGTTTTATGTGCCAGTCATTGGTTCCAACAAGATGATTTATGTGATGATAATGACATGATATCAATCAGTCTAGAACCCACTAGGAACACACCGCTTGTATATAAACGGTTAGTAGGCTGCATGACGTGTCATTTCTGGATAGTATTTGTTTGTGCGTGCACTTTGACATTATTTTTTTCTTTTCAATGTTATTTATTCGATGCTACGGCAACAAGAGTTTGTGTAAATGAATCAAACATATCCTGTTATATTTGTGGTAAATTTGTTGTAAAGAAACAAAGGCAATACATTACAGAATTTGTCAAAAAAGTGTATTATGCATATTTTGGAATAAAACTTGGGGACCAAGAGAAATTATGGGCTCCCAACAAAGTTTGTACCATTTGTGTCAAAGAGTTGAGACAATGGACTAAAGGTAGAAAAAGTATTTGCCTTTTGGAATTTTAATAATTCCAATGGTTTGGCGTGAGCCTATAAACCATGGAGATGTAACGTGCAAGGCTACAACACTTGAAATAAAAAGGAATTTTTTTTTCGAACGTTCAATCTGCCATAAGACCTGTTGCTCATAGACCTGATGTACCTGTACCTGCTCCACCAGAGACTCTTGATACCATTTCATCTGATTGTGAATCTGATGTCAATAGAAATGATGATTGGGATTGTTTTCAACCTGAAATATCTGGTGACCCACAACTTTTCACCCAAGGTGAACTTAATGACTTGGGCCTTCCAAAGGATTTTTCAGAGATTTTGGGGTCTAGACTTTGGGCTAGAAACGTATTTTCTCCAAGGATACCATTTTACTGGTACAGAAATAGTGAGAAAGAATTTATAACATACTTTTCACAAGAAGGTTCACTGGTTTATTGCAACAATATTGCTGGATTAATACCAGTGCTAGGAGCTGCAGTCTATGAACCAAGTGAGTCGCAATTGTTTATTGATTCCTCCAAAAGAAGTCTAAAAGGTGTTTTTATTCACAATGGTAACATACATGCATCTGTTCATATAACTCATTCAGTTCACTTGAAGGAAATGTACAAAAATCTCGAACTTCTTCTTCTTAATAAGGTCAAATACAAAGAACATGGTTGACTACTTTGTGGGGACTTAAAAGTCCTTTGTTTGTTGTTGGGTCAACAATCTGGTTATACAAAATTTCCATGATTTTGAGTGAATGAGACAGCAGAGCACAAAATCAGCACTGGAAAAATAAGCTATGGCCACACAAAGTCAGCCTGATACCAGGATCGAAAAACATTGAACATGAAAGTTTGGTTAACACAAAGAAAGTCCTATTACTTCCCACTTCACATAAAACTGGGCTTGATAAAGCAGTTTATAAAAGCCTTAGACAAAGATGGCGATTGTTTCAAGTATCTATGTGGGCGATTCCCAGCTCTTTCAGAAGCGAAACTTAAAGAAGGGATTTTTGTTGGGCCTCAGATTAGGTAACTGTTTTATAAGATCTAATTAGAAGGGTGCTGTTGAACATTCGTATGACATACAGTTTTGCACCAAAAGTTTTGTTCCATAAGCTCTACACCAAAGCTTGTAGTGAGCGCTGTGTGTGACCTAGTGGTCGGCATGCTGAACTGCTATGTTCAGGTATGGGAGGGCAGTTTAACTGTTACATTTGGTCCTATTGTTCAGTTAAAAGTAATCATATAGGTGGTGAGTGTTGCCCTCCTCATGGGTAGCATTTCTAAATTAGGAGGGATCTAACTTGGTTGTTTAACCCATGTGTTGCGTAAGATGCCACTCATATTCAAAAAAGGAAATAACAAATAGCATTCTATCCACGGGCTTATCAGAATTACTTGTTGCCCATGGCTTTGCTAGTTACAGGATCCCTAACAACATTGAATCACACAAAAAATATATAAACGAAAGAATCATCAGTCTTGCAGTAATGACTTATTATGTACCCTTAAAGTCAATAATATTTGGGTTATAATGTAAATTTACCACTGTACTTATTTTCATGTGGGATCAAAAGCACTTTGGATTTAACGCTTACTGCCTTACAATATTCAATCTTTCATTAGCTGTAGAATTGTTGAACAGATGGAGAATAAAAGATTTTCTGTCAAAAATTGACAGGCGTTCAGATAAAGTATTGTGGATCTTTATCGACTAGTAACTATATAACTTGTTAGTTAGCAATATGTTACACTTTATTATTTGACATATTTTCCATTCATGATATGAATCTCCATTTCAGTTGGACACCATTGGTATAGATAAGTTAAAATAATGTGACCAAACTTTATAGGATTAAATGTTCTTGAAAACAAGTGCATACATGGAATCAAACAAATACTTTTCAAGTTTATAACTTATAAATCGAACATGGTATATTTATTTTCTACTTTAACTCTGCAGTAACACTATATGGAATATATATATATATATTTAATAAATAAATAATAAATTGATAATAAATAAATACATCACTCGGTGAGTAGCCTCTCTTCTAGTAGCAAGTCATTCAGTGGGTAGCCTCTCTTCTAGTAGCAAGTAACTTGGTGTGTAGCCTCTCTTCGAGAAACAAGTAACTTGGTGTGTAGCCTCTCTTCTAGTAGCAAGTCACATGGTGGGAAGCCTCTCTTCTAGTAACAAGTAACTTAGTGTGTATCCTCTCTTCTAGTAGCAAGTCATTCAGTGGGTAACCTCTCTTCTAGTAACAAGTAACTTGGTGTGTAGCCTCTCTTCTAGTAACAAGTAACTTGGTGTGTAGCCTCTCTTCAAGTAGCAAGTAACTTGGTGTGTAGCCTCTCTTCTAGTAACAAGTAACTTGGTGTGTAGCCTCTCTTCAAGTAGCAAGTAACTTGGTGTGTAGCCTCTCTTCGAGTAGCAAGTCATTCAGTGGGTAGCCTCTCTTCGAGTAGCAAGTTCATTCAGTGGGTAGCCTCTCTTCAAGAAACAAGTAACTTGGTGTGTAGCCTCTCTTCTAGTAGCAAGTCACATGGTGGGAAGCCTCTCTTCTAGTAACAAGTAACTTGGTATGTAGCCTCTCTTCTAGTAACAAGTAACTTGGTATGTAGCCTCTCTTCGAGTAGCAAGTAACTTGGTGTGTAGCCTCTCTTCGAGTAGCAAGTAACTTGGTGTGTAGCCTCTCTTCGAGTAGCAAGTAACTTGGTGTGTAGCCTCTCTT